CTTTCTCGTTTAAGTTGACAGTTTAGCATAGCCAGCTGTATAACGTCTAAAATTATACCTAAACTTCGCAGGGTGTATATACACTGACCTTGATGTCAAGTATTAAACTGGCTAAGGTTTGGAAGTGAGTAGGCCTAGGATTAAACACAGCCTAATCAGGTGGCTAATGAACAGCCTACCATTGAACCAACGACGTTTCCAATGAAAAGATGAGGTAAAATCCCCAGAATTAGCAGATTCACAATACATCTGTTCTGCTGAAAATGATTTTGAGGCACTTCACCAACAATCTCTAACTACTGGTTCTAGCAATCTGAGCACTCCAGTCTGGCAGTCTGCACTTCATTACATTAAAAGATAATCGGAGTAGGGAAATTTTCCTTGGCCCAAATGATAAATACTCCAGTGCCAATTCTTCTCATGATTACAGCCATCACTGGGGCAAAATTCACTCAAATACAATATGTGCACATTACATCTGGTCATGTGCTGTTTAAGGTAGTTGAATGGACCTCTTAATACATAATTTAATATAATTCTCTCTGACATAATTTCATCACTATGCATTCACTGAATCAAAGTTATAAATAAAGTAATTAGAAATAACTCCATTACAGAAACAATTTATTTTTTGATTACAGCTTGATTCCATACCGTATTTTCAGTACAGGCACGAAATTCTCAGCTTGTGATACCGATAGCCCAAAACTTGCAGTCCAGCCATTGATATCAGGTGTGCGTCGACAGTTGTTCGAAATTCGGACCATGTGCATAGTCGGCGAGAGTCCTAACCGGTGTGCCACACACACACACACAGTGTTATACAATAATATTTACTGATAACCACGTTTCGAGCACAAATTACTGCCACTCATATTCATTTCAAGACACTGTTATACCATATAAGGAGGGGATATCTGAGAACCTACTTTGGATTCCTAATAAAGTAGGAATTATAATGGAATTCAAACCATCAAAATCACTCATGGACAAGCTCTGTAGGTTAAAGGACCCTGTTGACTGAATCAGACAAAAATAATTAATTTACAAAGTGCCCTGCAATGACTGTTAGTGAGGTCAACTACATAGGTCCGACCAGTAGGTTGGGGATAGTCAGATTGTCAGAACATAAGAATTTAGCTAAGGGAAGAATGGTTGACCCCAAGAAGATGAATAATTTAGAAAAAAGCTCAGCAATTACACTTCACGCATTAACAAACAACCACACAATAGCATGGTGGGAGAGGGTTAAAATTCTAAAACATAATCCAGGTAGATGGAGAGAGAGGTTGGTTACTGAATCCTGCCTCGTTCATCGAGTCTACACGCAACAAATGCAATAGAAGTGACTCAATGCAAATACCAGAGATATCAAAGACATTATTACCACCAGTCAGTCAAATCAGAGGAGGATAATAAATAATCACAAAATTCTATTTCAATTCAAGCATGTCACAACATTCTAATAAGTAACTTATTATGACTATGAAAACACTCGTCTTATTTCCCATCTGATTGTAATTGGTCAATAACACTCATATTATTGTTTCTGAATGTACATTATCCAATATTGATTTTTATTCCAATATCTAATCGATTCCACTCATGTATATAAATGAAGGAAAAAAGTTGTGTGAGTAACTTGATATGATTATGAGCAGTAATAATTTGTGCTCGAAACGTGGTCATCAGTTAATATTACTGTACACCACTGTATGACTTTATCAGAATAAAATCTTATCCATAATGGAGTTATGATCTACCACAGGGCTCAACTTTTACACTTATATAAATAAATAACTTGCTAGAATGTTACAATGTGAATTGAATTGAAATACATTTTAAGATTATTTATTATCCTCCTCTGATTTGACTGACTGGTGGTAATAATGTCTTCCATACATATCTTTGGCATTTTTATTCAGTGAGATCACTGTGGTCAGCTACATAGTTCAAACTGGTAAATCAATAGTAGTGAGATTATCAGAACATAAGAATTTAATAACTAAGTGTGAAATGATTGATCCCACGAAGAAAAACAAACTCAACAACTGCACTGCATGTATTAACACAACACTACACATTAGAGTGGATGGGACAGAGTCGAAATTCTAAAAGATGATATTGGCAGGTGGAGACAGAGAGAGAGAGAGATTGATTGCTGAATCCTGGTTCCCCGAGTGAATCTACACCCAACACATGGTACAATAGAAGTGACTCAGTGCAAATACCAGAGATATGTATGGAAGATATTATTACCACCAGTCAGTCAGTCAGTCAGTCAAATCAGAGGAGGATAATAAATAATTTTAAAATGTATTCAGCTCAATTCACATTATAACATTCAAACAAGTTATTGATTTCGACTATAAAAACATCTTTTACCCATCTGATTGTATTTCATTGATATCACTCATATTATTATTATTATTTCCGAATGTACTTTATCTTATATTGATGTTTATTCAAATGTCTAATCATCAATTTCACTCATGTATATAAATGAAGCAAGAAAGCTGTGTGAGTATATGTGCCTTGATATGATTATGAGTAGCAATAATTTGTGCTGGAAACGCGGTCATCAGTGAATATTATCTACTGCATAACAACACAGTGTGTGACTTTATCAAAATAAAATCTTATCCATAATGGAGTTATACTCTATCACAGTGCTTAAGTTCTATCCTTACATCAGTAATTATTAATAACTATGGCCTGCACGTCCTTTATACATGACTTAGCGTCATTCTAACTCAGGATGAGCCATAAGAAAATGTGCACAATCATACATGAAGGTTGTTTCACCCTTGTTTTGAACACCATCCTTTTATCGACACTTGATCTATAGAAGTAATTCATAACTAATGAGGATGTTAAAGGTTGTCAGCAGGATAAGCAACGTGCCACTTAACCAGCTTGTTAATATTCTGGTTGACAGGCATTCTGTCTAACTCACGCCACCCTCTACATTCACAACTCTCCCCTTGTATCTCATCAGGCAGAACCAGAAGCCTATGTAGAAAACGATATGCTCGCACTAGCAAGTACGAAAGCTCAGCCATACTCTACTTAGCTCGTGTTCTGTGCGATAAAGAAAGCATTAGGCGTGATACCTATAACTTATAAAATAGTCAGTAGAACAACTGGATCTCGTCTTTCCAACTCGTATCATTTATGGGTACAACGTTTTCTTTCTTTCTTTTCCTTTTCTGTCTCTTTTTTTTCTGTTATGTGCTACTTTGTTTCTTTCTTCCTTACAAACTCTACTTAAAACATTCTTCTTCGTTCTTTCACACACTCTGTATATCTAGACCTTTTGGTTACCGCTTACTCCAGTAAATATGCTAGTAGTATCTACTTTTCTAACACCTTCAAACACTCTGTTCAATTTGGGCTTTGCCACTGACTTGCCAATATGTGGTTGTCAAAATGAACTGAGATTACACGTAATCTGTGTAGAATTTTATGTTTTTTTTTGTTAATGTACTAATTGGATGCAACAGTGTATGTAGTGAAATGCTGAGAATTCCATTCTGTATCACAAGTACTGTTTGGGAATAAAGCAAATTATTATTATTATTATTAACTAACTGAAACTGTTCATACGAACTGTGATCAAGATTGACCGGATAGTTGCAAAATAATTGAGCGCTGAGTGAGAAGTAGACAAGATAAAATAGAATAAGAAAACCAGCAGAATTGAGTATACCAGATCAATTGTGGGGATTGCAACGCAGTATATGTAGGAGAAACTTCTAGACAGGTAAATATAAGAATGAAAGAGAATAAACAATGTCTAAAGGTGGTTCCAAAGAGCTCTGCAGACTTGAAGAAGCTAGAAAACAACTCAGCGATTGCACTACATTCAATAGAAATGGGACACAAAATCGACTTTGATAAACTAAGGTTTTACAGAAAGGTTTTGGTTCATATCAAGAAAGACTGACTGCAGAAGCCCTACATATATGGGTGAATCCCAACAGTTTAAACAGACGTGAAAGTGTGATGTTAGCCGATGCATGGCAAATCCTGACTAATAAATAAAATAAAATTTGATATGCATGAACAAGTAGTCACACTTGGTCAAATTCCCGACTGTCTACGTCTTCTTATGGAGAGAATAACAAATCTATAAAAATTAAATTATATTTATAAAAATATACAATTGGTGGATGGTGGCTAGCAGTGGAATCCAGGATAAAGCGTATTTCGTCCTGTTTGGGACTCGTCATCTGGATGTACCTGCATTTCTCAGTGAGTGATGACGTTCCCACCGAAGCTCGAACCCGGTACCCATAGTTTCAAACGCCAAAGCGTTATCCACTAGACCACTTGGGCCACGAGAGCCACCTCTTGTGCAACGGGTCATATTAATTATTGAATTGAATTTTTGATTTTCCGTCGATTGTTTGAACCGAAGTGCTCGGTCTATATTTATAAAAATGTCAATTATTTTGTAACTATCCGGTCAAATCTTGATCACAGCTCATATGAGAACACAAATGTTTTATGACTGTTCCACCGACACACACATACACACACACACACCATTATATCCTGCATATACTGCATATACATATATAATTTAACAAAAGTAGACAAATTTTGAAAGTCTGGGGTCAAAAAAGTTTTTGATCATAGTTCATACAATTTTTGTTTTGTTTTGTTTAGTATACCTATTGATTCATATTTAAAAATAAGAGGTATACTTTTAAATAAACATACCATTCTGTTTATTTATTTATTATACATGTTGATACCTGTTGCATGACTCATGATTGGACAAAATTTTAAAAAACAAGAGGTGCCCCTTGATATATAAACCTTTGTTATGTTAATTTCGATTAATTTCCCTGAAGAAGTTCGGACCAGATTGCCGAACGCGGAAACGTTGGAATTAATCATTTCAATTTCGCTGAGATTTTACAAATATAACTTTATAACTGAAACTGTATTACTCATTTATTATCGATTTTTACTTTATTTTTTTTGTCTAACAGGTATTACAATTTCTATAGATCTAAGTAGCCGTAAATCAAAGCGAGTGATACGAGCTTTTCAACCGCTTTGTGCATTATCAATTTGTATTGGTAAGTTTCACTAGTTGTTTGGACTGTTAGTCGTTCATTAATGCATAAAAAGCCAAAAAGCTTGATATTTTTTTAACTATTATTTTTCGAAAGTTGTAAGCCGGGTAGATAACAGATATTTGTTGTCATTACAATAAAGGCCAGTTATGCAACGGATACATTTTAATAACAATAATAATAATGATTTACTTTATTCCAGTAACAGTACTTGTGATACAGAATGGAATTTTCAGCATTAATCACAACAATATAGCATCTAATTTCTTCAAATTATAAATAAAAATTAATCACACAGAAAATTTTCCACATTTCCAATAGGGGTGTAAGCGCAATATCGCTTGAAATTAAGTCACGCGTAGATAAAGGCTATCCCGGTCCATAACAAACAAAAGCCGGTCACTGTTTCTACGGTACTGTTAATAAACAAATCAATAATTATATACAACAAACCTTAACGGTTTCAAGAGTGCAAGGCACAACGCTTAACAGAAAGCAAGGTACCGCTATCAGAGCGGAATAACGTTAAAGCCAAAATTGCGAACTAGCCGGAACCAGACACGACCGTTCAGGTAAGCAGTCAGTAGAAGAATGAACCCAAGTAAGGCATGGCATAAAACAGAGAGCGTTTAAGAGAGATAGACCGAGCATAGGCACAAAGAATTTAATTGGCTACTTAACCAGGTAGGAAAATACAGATGAAAATCAAAAAATAAGATAAACTCGACAGAATAGTACAAAGTTAGACATGGGTCAGCAAAAATAACAGTTCACAAAATACTCTGATTGGGTCATGAGTTCAACTGTCTGACTAAACGGATCGAGGTAAAAACACATACACACAGTTCATTAAACAAGCAGGGATAGACACGTTAGGCATAGATAATTGGGTTGCAACAACTCTAGGCTGATCCGGGACAGGTTGACTTGATTCAAGGATGGGAAGAGAATTGATCTTACATGGGGTAATGTCCAAAAACATGTGGCATATAAAATGGAAATAATAGTAATGATAAGAGCTAAGGTAATAATAGTAATACAAGTGAAAATTGCCGTGGGCTTGTTTCACACAGTATTGTCAATGCGGTATAGAAAAATCCTAGCATGTTGAATAGCATGTTCCCCTTTTACATGATATGGTGAGGGGAAAAACAAAGATCACAGCAGTCATAGAGATAAGTTGGTGTTGAATAACAGATTAGTTATCGTAGGGTGACAAAATAAATAGTCGTATTTGTGTGACAAACGTGCTCTGGGCTGAAATCCATCACCAAAATATTGCAAAACGGGAGACAGTGGTGGTGGTGATTAACCATAATAGATTTGGAGAGTGTGGGGTAGGAAAATTGACAAGTCAGTTCAAGGTTATAAAAGTCAGGTGAGTGGCTAGTACAAAATAGTCCGTGTTAAACAGGATATAGTAAGATTGCAATGAGAGAGGTTCATAATGAAATAATGAATATGTGAAATGAAACAAGTGGAGGCATATATTTAGAAAAGAGATAATATCACTAATAATAAGTCTGGATGGTGGTATAGCGGTTAGGACGCTCGCCGACCATGCATATGGTCCGGGGTTCGATCCCCGGCCGGCGCAATCCTCTACCTCACTGAGCCAAAAATAATCCTGGTAAAGAGGAAAGGTTGGGCATGAGGCTAGCAACCCCATCCTGTAAAAAATTAAACACTGCTACAGAAACTTCAAGCCACTAGCTTGGAGCCCTATGTTCCACTGGGAACGTGAAGGAAAAAAAAAAAGTCTGGATGGTATGAATGAAAAATTCGATAGTATTGAGAGAATGTTTGAATGAAGGACATAAATTATGACGAATAATAATAATTGTAATAAGAAGGAAAGGAAAAAACCAAGAAGGTCAAGGGGAAGCAGCATTCTTGGTGAAATGAAGAATCATCAATCCAAGTTTGGCCACGGTAGAAACAGCGTCTGGATGTGTTCTTTTTGGATAAAAAGTTCCGGTTTAGTCAATCTTATTGCAACAGCTTCAGCTATGTGTAGGAGGCGTAAGCGAACTATACGTGATAAGGACTTCGCAATTCGGTTTATAACTTAAAAGCTGTGTTGACATCGATACGATGTTCAGTATCGACCAAGTGTGACAGGATCGAGCTTTTTATGCACTTAATTTCCCCCCCCCCTGTTGAACAGATGAGCACTGATATTAATTAGACGTGCGTTGATGATGTGACCACGTTCCATGATCTTAGATTTTTAGACTGTATTAAGTGTAAGAAGGGATTACTTACGTTGGATTGAAGATCTTGGCAGCCAGTAGATTTGCACTGGCCATGGCCGGACACCAGCTCATTAACCTACCAGCCACAAAATCTAACTGGTAATAACTGCAGCAATATGATAACCTGTTTAGTATCCGAGTTTAAGAAACACCTGGTAGGGATGTATGTATTCTTAATTCCGAAAGTCATCGTTTCAAACCGTTTAGTGATGGAGATTTTCATTTCAACATGATTCATGATAATTTTATCTAAAGCTGTACTGCTGTAACAACAGAAGACAAGGGCCAGGCAACAGATCGTTTTATTATGAAAATCAACACGTATTTATACATATTTCAACTACATTATTATAGACAAGCGCAGTCATCTGATTGGCTGTTTATCAGAAGTTAGGTAGACAAACGCAGGCTTCTGATTGGTTGTTTCGGGATTCCTTGACAAATAGAGTTCTCTATCTGCGAATCATATTTTGCCACGTTAACTTTGCTGTGATTGGTTGTTGACTCAGCCTTGTTCATATTTTCTCACGGCCCATATTAGTGACCTAGACCTTAACGTAGATTAGTGCCAACCAATCGGCTAGCAGCCTGCTCTCACCACACTGCTAAATCTATTTTTCTACATCTTCAAATGTAAACGAATCTTGGCGAATCCTTATCAGACACATTCAACAGATGTGTGAAAGTCCCAGTGCGTCGGTGGTAGAGCGGTTAGGACGCTCGCCCTTCGCGGTTCGATCCCCGACCGACACATTCCTTTACTTCCCTGAGAAAGACACATTGCTGGTAAAGAGGAAAGGTTGGGCATGAGGCTAGCAACCTGTATATCCTGTAAAATAAACACTGCTACAGAAACCTCAAGCCACTAGCTTGAAGCGCTTTGTTCAACTGTGGAACGTGAAGGCAAAAAAATGACAATGCCAAATGTCAAGTGATCCACAACGGGAAACTCAGTAAAACCTTTGAAATGAATCCAGGACTAAGTCAAGGCTTTCCATTAATATCATTGTTGATATTCTTAATTTTGGTGGACTGCATCATGCGTTATGCTCTGCTGGAAGTGAGAAGACAAGAAGAGGTTGGATCGATAAAAAGACGCTAGAAGATTTGAACTTTGTGAATGATTTAGGTCTAATGCTAATCGAATTCGAAGACCCACTGTCTGGAACCAACAAAATGACATATGAGACAGGTGGCGTATTCAGTGCTTCAAGTGAAAATAGAAAACAATAAGGACCAGTCCTTAGCAATGGAAGGGATCTGAAGGTGGTTATTTCCTTAACTCATCTAGGAAGCATCGCTTCAACTACAGCTGACGGCACACATGAAGAAATGAAATCCATGATTCGTAGGCTAAGCCAGAGCCTTCTCACTTCGAAATGAGTCTTCAAATCTGTTGTACTCAATATGAATAACGAAATTCGGATCTCTAACACCCTTTTTTTAAGTCAGTCACTGCTTCTGTATGGACCAGAAACTTGAGGCGTCATCAAAAACATTTCCAACAGGTTAATGCAGACATTTATCAACAGCTAAGTATTTCGCTGGCTCCATAATAAAGATCAGTCTGCCAGTGAGAAAGACTTTGCAGCAACAAAATCTCAAAAGGAACCGACTAAGAACGCATTGCTCAACAAGCATCCTGAAGAAAATGGAAACGCATAGAAAAAACACAGATGAGGCAGTTGAATGACATCGCACGCCATACCATCACTCGAGTGGAACCTGAATTGAAAACAAAGAGTTGCGCGTTTGTAGGAGAGTGACATGGGGGCAATCATGTGCTGAGAGGATGAGAGATTATGGGCAGTTAGCTTAAGAGTACCACAGGGGATAGGACAAAATGGGAATATGTTGTTGAAGCCCTATGTCCCACTCGAAATCCGAGGGAACAATATTTAGCAGTTGCATTTTTTGGTATAAATGTTAGTCTCAGTGTATAGGTGCTCCTCTACTGGCGTTGTATCCAGAATAATCAATAAACTCCATATCCAATCCAAAAAAAGTATCACTTACTGTGTTACTGTCGCATCAGTTTTGATTCCCTATATCAATAAAAAATAATAGCTTCGGTTCAAATCACCCACTGAACCATAAAGAAAATAAAAGACAATTCAGCGAAGAAAAGTTTCTGTGTCTACGAAATCATCTTCACAGGCTGTATGTATAGTATCGTAGTATGTATAGTAGTCTGTTATTGAGCAATAGAAGGGGTGACATAACTGATATAATTACTTAGAAATGGCTTGACCCAAATCGGTAGACCTGGCTGGTTACGACTTTCTACTGGAACTCTAGACAACTTGAAAATGTAGTCAGTCACTACAGCGTAACAGCTATCCAGTACTCTCTGGTTTTTAAGGGCTCTCAACATCATGTCACTTGAAATCAATCATTTAGAAAAGGTTATGTAAACGTATGACACAAGGTTGTCACTTCGTTCTACCTTCTACCGTATCGCTCATAATCTTTTAGCTTTAAAGATCGGATATGCTGGCATTTTTACTCACTGTGACTGACTACTGATTTCATAATTTTTTCATATTTCGCAGACACGCCTTTCAGATATGTTTACAATTAAATCTCATCATCAGGGTTAACTCTAATATACCTACATAACTTTACAAATAAAAATTCAAATATAAACCAATCGTCATGGTGTTTTGTGTATAGGATAACAAGATGGTGAATATAAATTGTGCAATTAGTCATAATAGAAGTAATGATAATAGTGTTTCTTACAATATA